ACATTGACGATGTGTTGATTATCCTAGCGTCTGATCTTAAGGTGGTATCATTTCCACCTCTTCTTGGTGTCAATAAAGAGTTATTTTACTTTATTAGGAAGTCAGCTTTAATGTGGATCATTTAAAGTCGTAGGGAAACATATTTAAAGATATATATAAATGTACTCTTTATCAATTTAGATAATTTCTATAAAAAAAAAAATTCTTTCTTAAAATCTGCTTTTTTTCCGTTATCTTCTGCAGGCCAGTTAGTTCTACGTAACCTGAACACCTAAATTCGGCCAATCATATATCAACGGTCATCTGTCAATCAAATTTTTTTGGTCACGGCCAGTGTTGGGCATGTTACTTTGAAAAAGTAATTAGTTATAGTTACTAGTTACTTCTACCAAAAAGTAACTGAGTTACGCCACAATAAAAGTAACTAGTTACTAGTAAAAGTAACTGTTGCGTTACTTTTGCGTTTCTCACCACCCAGCCCCCACCTTCTTGCCGTGTGTTTCAAAGCCAGCTGAATAGAGCTGAATAGATCCATCCATCCATCCATCCATCCATCCATCCATCCTTCTCCCTTTCTCCATATAGGCTATCATTTGATCGTTCACGCTCTCCGTAGTTCTCCTGTGGCGCGAGCACAGGGCGACTGTTACACGCCTTTAGCGAGCATGCTCATTTCCTGTCGCTTGCACGGTGAATCTTGCCGCCTGCGCTGTGCGGAGATGCAGGGGAAACCATATCTGATGGGGAAACGCAGCTCGACGTAACACCGGTATTTCCATGTGGAAAACGCTGTTTTGCTGCTGGAGTCCTCCTGACTCTCCATCTCTCTGTGTGTGCTGCACGTTAACACCCGCCAGCAGAAACACCCACCTACCCAACTGACGGACGGAATCTCACTATACATCAGCCATTCTCATCCTCCCCTCTTTCATGACAAGGCGCGCACGAGTCCTATCATGAAAAAAGGTTCATTGTGCGACCTGAGTATGCACAGTAACGGGGTGTCTGCAATGGTAACTGCGTTACAGTTACAATCAAAGTAATTGGATTATTCGTTACTTTCAACGCCGTTAGTCCCATCACTGGTCAAGGCATCTTGATTCATATGTCGCAGCTAATATACGCAACGCAGTGCTTCCGACAAACCGGCCACAACCAAATAGGCTTGCGAACCTTCCGCCACAACAATCCCGCCCCCTTAATAATCGACCAATCACATTCACTTTATTCACTTGTGTAAAGTCGGGCACCACTCGGGAGAATTCGGAAATGTTGGAACAGCCGCTTCCCTACGACTTTAAGCTTACACTTGTTATTGTTACAGCTCCACCTTTTTGACAACATTAAACCACTGTTGAACTAAATTAAAACATAAACTTCAATGAGTGTAAAGTGTAAAAAAGCGACATAAAAAAAGGATGTAAAACATATGAACATACCTTTGTTGTGCCATATGCCATGATAATGGTTTTTGGACATTGGGAACCAGTGTCCATATTTTATCTTGACATGATGACCAGAGAAGAGAAGAGTTTGGTAAACAAGCATTTTGTATTGGTCAGAAAACTGTAATTATTTCTCTAATTTAGTGAAAAGCTAATTTCATCATATCCCAAATCACCTTAAACTGTAATATGGTTTTCAACCATGTTTCCCTTCCTCTTTGTACATAGTAGTTTAACTTCGTTTAGTTGAGTTTCACTAGTTTTAGTTAAAAGTTTTAAACTGAAATATGTTTCAGTTGGAGCTGAATGATTTTTGTTAATAAAATCTTATATTTTGAACAGAAGTTGTGGTGAATTTATTCCATGAATGTAAAGAATTAACTGTTTGACCATAGTGCTCGATTCACTCTTTCATTTATTGTTCTAACATACAGCTAGTAGGGCGTGTGTTCATAAACAGTATATAACAGCCGAAATAATATCTGATTAAATAAGATATTTACCACCCCTACCGAACAATAAACATCTTAAAGTATCAGAAATATAAATTCCCAGGTGGCTTGGAATTAAACTGAACATAAAATCATAACACCTTGCTGGCTCTGCCTTACTTGGAGGTAGAAATAAGGTCCTTATAAATACTTTGAGGTATTAAACTCTCAACTCAAACTGTCCCTTTTCTGTTGCCACTTGTCATACGGCTCATTTTCTGAGTTCCAATTCAGGTGCTGCTTCCTCCAAAGGCCAGATTCGTCTGCTGATTACATCATAACGCGGCGCCAAGGCCTGTTCGGATTAGAAGATTGTTAGGATTGGATAGGATTGTTAATGACCACACCGATCTTTTCACTTTCAAGTAAGTTCATCAATAAGCATCCTTCTTTGAAATCAACAGCTTTGCTTTCTGTAGTTATCGATCATTCTTTGTAGCGCAGCGGCGCCTTCATTCATAAACTCAGTCAGCTGATTGTACTCACGGCCTGCTGACTGCTTTCTTTGCGCATCAGAGCGTAATCGGTTGGTGGCTCCCGACTTTAGGCCCTTCTTCAAGTCATCAGTGAAGTTTTTTCACTTGTTGCGGCTACTCTTGCATCAAAAAAGTTTCCAAAAAAAATCAAAAATTGCCAGAGTAGTCTTAGGAGGAGGTTTTTCGACTCACAAAACAAAAAGCACTCGTGGAGAATTTTCTTGTTTCAAAATAAGGGTGTTTTCTTTACTAATAAAAAATAACAGAAATATTCTCAGAGTTGACTTACAAAAATTCAAATATAAAGCTAAGTGATGTGTGTGAAAAAACTGTTGCACTCCTCACTCCTTCAAACAAACAATCAAATCCACCTCATCAGCTGCTTCTACTTGTTAATCGCAGCAGGAGGCGGACTGACAAGGAGGAGGGTCAAAGCAAAACAAATACATAAACAAATAAACAATAACTCTACCATTCACATAACCTTAGCTCTTTAACATTAATAATTTTGCAAAAGATAAATGAATCTAATTCTTAATAGGCTCCAACACTGCTCGTTACGCGGCCGACAAATGCGGCCTTGTTTTTGCAGGTTCAGGATCAGGCTGTTATCTCTGCACCACCAGCTGCTCCACCTCCTCTCTGTTGCCCTGGTCGTTGTCGTCTCTGATGAGTTCCACCTCCATGGTGTCGGCTGCAAACTCCAAGATGTGATTGGTGCTGAACCTGAGTACAGGGTTATAACATAATTAAGAATCAGTTATCTAAATGGCTATTGTTTTTTTAATTAATGCAAATACTTTTAATTCTATCTAACCAATAAGGCTTTATTTACCACTTGTATTTTGTTTGTGAATCGACATTCAAAATGCTTCAAATGACTTCAAAAGCAAATGGCAATTGGATTTTCAAAATAAAATCCATGCTGAACCGTTATATTATTGCCTGATTTTATTGATCATGGCTTTCTTCCTGTATGTACATAGTAGCTTAGTATTTTGTTGTTTTTTCCCCCCCAGCATTTTATTGTCATGACACTATCGCAAGTACAGAGCAACGGTTAGGTTAGGGTTAGCAACGGCGTTATCTCTCTGCATTTAACCCATCCCCTTGGGAGCAGTGAGGGGGGAGTTAAGGGACCCAGAGTGGCAGTCTGTGTGCAATGCCCTATTCACTCCCCAAAGCAGATATTAGGGAGAGGGGTCTTGCCTAAGGACCCACACTGGCAGTTCATTCCCCCCAGCTGGGATACGAACCCAGGCTTTCTGTTTGCAGCACAGGTGCCCTACCACTTGAGCTAGCCAGCCGCTAGTTAAGCTATTTTAATTCATTCTTATATTTTGAATGGAAGTTGTGGTAAATGTATTCTACATTGTTTGCATGCTATGTTTGTTAGCCTGCAAAGAACTCAAACGACTGCCCAATCCTAAGGGATGGACCCGTTCTTCCGGTTCATTTTGCATGTTTTCTAAGCCAAAACAAGTTGTTGTTTTTGGTCCATTCTATAAAGCTAATTTAAAGCTATTTCTGACATTTTTAATTGAAAAAGCTTCCTGGATGGGAAGCAGAGTCTTCAAACTTGGAAGCAAAAGTCCAGAGGAGACAGAAAAAGTCTCATTTATTTGTATTCTTTTTATTAAGATGTGAGGGCAGAGGAGGACAAATGGAACATCTTAAAAAATGACTTTTGTAGAGATTTTAGACAAATAAAACAGTTATTCTACTTGTAGGAAACGAACGGTTGTCATTGATGTGTTTGGCTTCTTTTTTCCTTAAATGATCATTTAAAGATTCTTTCTAATGTGGTTTAAAGCCCTGTTTTTCTCTAATTTAGTCCACATGTTTATTTAAAGTTCAGACTTGAGCAGGCTCTCTCTCTCATGCCTTATCAACCATTTGCTTTAATGGCATTGTTTGGCTTTGTCATAGTGTTTGATCAATTGCCGCTGCTAGAGGCATAAAGGCTGCGATAAGGACGTGAACTTTGACTCGGCTTCAGATAAATAATGTAGTAAAAATAATCCTCACTACAATTCATCCCAAACTTCCTGTCTGCATCCGCTTTTGTTTGAAGATAATTGAAAATAATCCAGTCAGAAGGTTTTTCTGTTGATTTCCTAACTTTACCACAGAGAGGTTTGTTTTTTTTTTGCTTCACTCTGGAAGCTTTTGTCGTTGGTTTAATGGAACTGTGTGCGGTACATCACGTCCTGAGATTATCTACGAAAAGGAACATGAGTGCCTTTAATTGAGACAATCTTACCGATCGAAAAAGAAATCGTGCCGAGCGCAAAGTTGCAAAACCTGCTGAACATTCATTTGTCAGAAATCCATGTTTTCCACACAAACACCTCCTGTGGTGATTACCTTCGTGGAAGACCGTTTCTTGGTATCTCAGTTTTCCTCTAATAAAAGGCCACTGTGATTTTCTGCTCCATTTTCTCTCCAAAAAGCCTCCAATGTGACACATCCCCCTGCCTCCGTCAGAGAAACTATCTCCGTCATAAAACTGTTAGAAGCAACTTTATGCACAAACAGGTCTCCCCGTCTTAGAGCCCAACCTTCTCTGGTCGACTATCACTAAGGGTGCATTTACTGTTTTACTGCCAGGCCTTCCAAAACACTCCCACAGCATGCGCTTTCCAACCGCTCAGATTATTCTGAATCATTTCACTTAAGGGCCCAGATGCTACCTGTCTGTTGGCCTTTGCTGAGAGGGTGATTAAGGCAGGCTGGTGTTGGATAAATGCGCCATACTTCTGCCTGAACGGTGGCGTCTCTTTATCTGTCATCATGTCGTGTGAACCTCGCCCCCAACGCACCCACTCTGCAGTCACCGCCTCCTTTGTTGCTGTTGTCACCGGTTGGGGAGCTTTTACTTCTTCATCAGAGTTGTGTTTGCATCATGGAGAAGGAGCTTAGCCTGGTGTTCATCTCTGACCAGCTGAATTTGCCAAACCTAAGCGGAGAAGACACCAGGATGGACGCCCAGGTGGGTTGCTGGCTTTAGAAGTCCCCGTTTGATCGGTCATGGTAAACCTCGGGAAATCTTTGTGCCTCAGCAGACTTGTCTAAAATGGTGGATCTTACGGTCACAGACTGTGTTGCTCTATCTGTTTACATCTTCACCTTCCTCCTGGGCCTTCCTGCCAACCTGCTCGTCTTCTTCGTCTATATCCGCAAGGCTCGCAAACATGGCGCCACGCCCAACGTCGTCTATGCCCTTAACCTCTGTGTGGCCAACCTGGCGTTCATGGTCTGGCTGCCCGTAAAGATATTAGAGACACTGCTAAAGGACTGGATGCTGCCGCCACCCATGTGCCCAATTTACAGCTTCTTCCTCTACCTCTCGATCTACGTCAGCTGCCTCTTCATCACCGCTGTCACAGTCGGGCGCTACCTCAGCATCGCCTTCCCCATCGTCTACAAGAGATACCGCCGGGCACGACTGTCATGCTACATTTGCGCCTCCTTGTGGTTGTTGGTGATGGCACACCTTGGGATTGGCCTGGTTGCTGAAGGCGACGCTTATTTTGTTGTAGTGGAGAATGACGTCTCCGCCTGTTACGACCATTTCAACGCGACACAGCTGAAGGTCCTGCTTCCTCTTCGCTTGGAGATGGCTGTTGTCTTGTTTATATTCCCTCTAATTGTGACTTCCTTTTGCACGCTGCGATGCGTCCTTCTGGTTTGGCGCTCAAATTTGCCTTGTTTGGGGAAGAGGAGAGTCCTGGCGGTGGCGCTGTCCACGCTGGCTGTGTTTGTGATCTGTTATGCTCCCTACAATGCCTCGCACATCGTAGGGTTTGTTCAGCATAAAAGTGTTGAATGGAGGACAATAGCGATGCTGACCAGCTCCTGCAATGTTTTCCTTGAGCCAGTGGTGATGCTGATGCTCTCCCCGGTCGTGTCCAGGGGCATCCTGGGAAGAATGTGCGGTCAGCAGAGTGACTTCAGGTGGAGCGATGGGTCTCGACATCAAGGAAAGCCTATAAGTGGGTTTACAAATATCAAGGCACGACCTACAATGTCTAAGAAGATGCAGACAGAGGGTGAGGAGAAAAAGGAAAGCCAAGGATGTAATGGAGAACAAAAGAAGCCGACCATCTTTCATATTCAGGTCTGAACCACCTCAGATCTACATGGTGGCTTTTAACTTTTACCCAAATGATTTGGTTGAAGAGAGACAGTAGAAGATGTTGTACTGAGAGAAACCAAACAGTTCATTCATCCCCAGGAAACCGAGTATCTCTAAAACTGTATAAAATTTAACATTTCTCCAGCAGGAACCTTTTTCTAAGAATCTTAATTATTATTATTATTTTAATTTTTTTTAACAATGTCCTGTCTGGAAATGTGGCAATAAGAATAATTGTCTTGATGCCAAAAAGAGCCCAACAGATTTTGCTTTCACAAGTGGATCAGTACGGCTATCACCATAGAGTTCCCCTTCGTTTATGCATATAAATTGCTTTATTATAATTATGCAGGGAGTTTTACGGATTATATAGACACTGCAATGTAAGTAGAACAGGAAAGGAAAAACAGGAAAAATGAGAAAATATGAAAGAAAGAGGAGATAAAAGGGAGATGATGATAAAACATCTTCAGTCTGCTTCATCACCTGCAAAGAGATGGAAAAAGAACAGCAAAACCAACAGATATAGTATAAGAGATACAATAAAATGGCACCTTGATACTATCACTAAAGTAGTATTATTTAATTTGACATGTATACGGCGGTAGCTGAAGATAAGAATGTGGGCCTACTCTATGGAAGTGAATCTCTAAGTACCTGGAACCAAGCAGCTGTAGTTGTTTGTGAGAGTGCACTTGTACATGTAAAGTTTATCCAAAGGGAAAATGCTCAATAGTGGTCGTGGAGAGCCAAAGACGCGCCCCGCCAGAACACCGAGGCGAGCACCGGGGGGCCCAAAGCCCCAGACGCCCAAAGGGACCCCAAGAGCAAAGACGCCAAGGAGGGGCCAACCCAGGAAATCTGCCGCCCACCAAGGGAGCATCTTAATTATGCTGTAAATGAACTCAGGGGCAGATTTAGAACATTTGGGGTCCTAGGCAAAGACAGGCAGGGGGCCCTCTGAATGGAGAAGACAACACATAGAACAGACCCATTCTACAGATAGAGAAATGTTAATAGAATAGACATCCATTATCTGTTCTAGGTTGTGTCCCTCTCTTCTTGTCCCTTTTCTTCTTGTTTTCCTCTCTATGTTTTGTACTCAGCTGACTTTTCATGCTGTCTCTAAAGGAATGAAAGATTTTTTCCAAGCACTAAGCTCACTTAGCTGATTGCTCCTTCCTGTGTTTCCAAAAAGGCCAAAGTAAATAACCCAGTCCTTCTTTTCACTGTAGACAAGCCATGATCTGCTTATCTGTTCTCCATTTTTCATTTGGATGAAATAATAGCTGCATGAATCATGACAGCAGACAAGATAGAGGAGAGCAGGAGGCGGGGTTACCAATCTACTCGCTCTGGAGAGCAGAGTTCGCTGCTTTTAGATGTCTCCAAAGTCTCCAGTAGCAGCAAAAAGTCTCTAGATTTGGCGCTAGGAGCTTTTTAGAAATCAAAGTGCTAGAGGGGTCTGAAAAGTGGCTAAATATAGCGACTAAAGCGCTAAGTTGGCAACACTGCTCTTTGCATGGTTTGTTTTCAAATGGTTTGCTGCTGTCTGTTTGGACCTTTCTGTCTAGACTTACCTAATGGTTTATCCCACCCTGACTGAAGTTGTCATTTATCTGTGATTTTTTTCTGACAAACTCTAAAGAGTTTACAGCATATTTCTTTTTAAAAAGAATGAAACAAATAAATGTTCGTCAATAATTAAACAAAATGAAACCCTTTCCATGTTTGGACTCTTGTTGGACTCCCAATGTCTAACAGAAGGGAAGAAATGTTTTTTTACTTGAACTTCCTAATTTCTGTTGAAATCTCCAGATGATTTGTTTTTACAGCTGATTTATTTAAAAAATAAACAGATTAAAATCAAATGACTCGCTGATGTTTTGTCTGCTTTTTTACCTTAATAAATGTATACTTGTTACTCTACACTGTCTTAACTTAGCATTAATTTGCTTTTTTTGGTTAGTCATATAGTTACTAGAAACATTGTACCAAATTGTCAGGGTTTGGTTGAGGACCCAAATGCAGAGGCAGGGAGGCAGAGGTGAGTTCTTGCAGTTTTAATTGAATGTTTACAGGTAGAAATCCAAAAATCCAACTTAAAAATGTTAAACAAACCAGAACCATGGAGACATCAGGGAAAACAATCATGAGGAGCCAGCACTGAGGAGCTGCACAGGGAGAGTATTTATGACTGACTGAACAAAGAGAGGACTAATGAGCTGATTGGGAGCAGGTGTGAACAGAGGATTCTAGAAGGATCTAGGGAAAACGGGACCAATACAAGAGGGCAACAAAGAAATATCTAAGAACTCAAATACATCCAAAAAAACACAACAAAATAGAAATTAAACCAATAAAACTGAAAAAAAAAAAAAAAAAACTTAAAGGCATACTATGTAACATCATTCAGTTATTAATGTGTTCCATAACGTTTTGGATGATTAAAGGAGTAATTTCAGGTCGAACAAAGGTTTTCTCGGCCGCCCTGGTGGTCTGTAGGGGAAATACCGTACTTGCAATTGCAGGAGCCCTTGGCCCGCACCCACAGGCTCAGAAGTCTCGTGCATCTTCCTCTCAGAGGAAAACCCAGCAGCATGGCGGGGGGGGCAATGAGTGAAATGGAGTTCTTTCTGTCAAACTGTCAGACCGTAGTAGCCACGTTAGCTCAGCCATGTCTTTGTCCAAATACGTTGTCTCCTTTTCTTTTTAGGGCTTTCAGCACAAAATTGCCCAAATTTCCAAGGCAGCGCGTTTCACTCTAGTGAGCTTCATGTTCCTCTCTACTCGTTTGGCTTCCAGATAGACGAGTCCGAGTAGCGCCATCTCACTGCGAAGCTGAGTCCCACCTGGTTTTTAGACGTACAGTGTGAGCAGACAGATCGCATTAAAGCGTCGGGTCGCACAGTGTGAGAACAAACATCGTAAGCTGGGAACTTTTAAATCCTGCGGATTTGTCATACAGTGGTAGCTGTGGCTGCGTGAAACAAATCGAAAAATCGTACACTGAATGCCCGACTTTAGCTAAGCTCAGTGTTGTAGATTAGCTTTTTCTGAACTTATTTCTCTTTTTCTTAGTTTTTCTAAGCTAAGTTTATCCAGTTTTTTTTTTTTTTTAGTTTAGTAGTGCAGCCTAAATTAAATTTAGCTTATAGTGTAGCTTAGCATATCTAAGCTTGGATTATTTGACCCTACCTTGGTTTAGCTGACTTTCTCTTAGTTTTTCTCGTCTTTAATTGTTGCAGTTTAGTACAGCTTAGATTTTTATTTTAGCATTTTTTAAACATACTTCATCACATTCTAAATCCCTCTTTTTTACTTAATTTTACCTGAATGTATTTGATTTTGGTTTAATTTTAGCATAAGCGCTGTTTTGGTAACCTTAGCTTATATTAGCTTTATTTAGCTTAGCCTAACTTTCGTTTTCCTTTTACATTACATCAGTTTGTTCAATTTTGCTTATTGTTTTGATTTAGTTTTTTTAAATAGACTTGCTAATGTTTTTTTAATTTGTTGTACTTCATTTTTGAGCTTCTGGATTAACCTCATTAAGTTTATTTTAGCGTTTTAAATTAGCTGAGTTTACTACCTTAGCTTTATGTTACTAATACTAATGATCTAATCTTGATTATTGGATTTTAATCTTTACTTTGCATATTTGACATTTTCTTACCGTAGTTAATAGGATCTCTAATATAATATTTCACTTTAGCATATTTCCTATAGGCCAATATGTTTTTTTTTTATTTTTTTATTTATCTCATATTACTTTAATTTCAAATAGTCTATATTTTACTTCTTTTTTTTTTACTTTGCTCTATTTCTTTCAAAGAGATTTAAACATTTATGAAGTAATTAAACTATAAAATCAGAGCAGTGATGATAAAACAAAGAAAATCAGTAAATTAAGGAAGAATTAATATCGTTTATCGATTTGAAATTTTTGACCCAAACTGGATCCACATTTGCAGAGTTTGGATCCCATCATGTATTTACTGCAGGAATTAAACAAGTGTTTGAAAAATCTTTGTGTTTTATTTTTCATATTTATCTAAAGATAAACAAAAGTATGTCGGATATTTCTGGGCTCTGCATACAGACGGTGTTTGAAGTCGTCTCCTCTCCATCTTTCAGTGATTCTCCCACATATCCTACGGTAAACTGCGTCACACAGGTTCTCCCATCGGTTGCCGGGAGACCATGTTTGGAGAACAGTTTATTAAATTTCCGCAGTTGAAGCATATTAAGCACCGTCTTGAGTTACAATCAAACAGTCTGATTCCTGAAACTGAAGACGGCGGATGCAGGATGGACGGTTTGGGATTTCAGCCTTGATCGAGGTAAACGCCTGCTGTGGATAAACTCATTTCTTTTCTGCATTTGTTTTATGAACTTATGTCTGAATGCTGGTGTCCTGCTGGATGTACTAACATCTAGTCAATCTATATCTTTGATTTTTCTCAGGTGCTGCTCAGTAGGTTTTGATTTATTAAACAAGTATAGCAATGTTTATGGGAATTAGAACAAATTAGCTGAAATATTCAATCAGGTTTGTAACTTTTCACCACAATTTCCCCATTGTGGGACAATAAAGGGATTTACTATTCTATTTTATTCTATTATTTCTGTAGAAAGTTGGTCTCAGAGTGGAAGGTAGGAAGAGACTCTCCATGCTTACAAATCGCACCATGACATGAACAGCTGGGTTTGTTTTAATCACTGGTACTAATCACAAAAAAACCCAAAAAAGTTTGTTTAAAAGGAGATCCAAAGGTTTCTGGCAGAACTTCACCTCCTTTCAAAATGCATGACCGGGTCAAAGATGTGATGAAGTGAAAACTGAAAGTTCTTGGAACCAACTTTAGTGTCAGACCAACATGTTTGAGGCTGTAGCCTTCATCGGCTCCATTACAAATCAAAACACATATTATCTACAGTTGAAATGTCTGATTTGTCCTCGTCTGTGTCCCTGTCAGTCAGCTCGATATCGTATATAATAATTTCTTCTTACCCACTAATTTGGTTAAATAAAGGTTAAGTAGAATAAAACAAATGCACATGGACACACTGATCTCTTCTGGGTTGGAGTTCCTTTTGCATGGATTACAGTATCAATCAGAACCAGGTCTGGATTCAGAGGCATCTGAGGTCCCCAATATAAACTACTACTCACATCTGGATCCTTTCATTTTTGTCACTTTGAGGCGTGGAACAAAGTCGAGAATGTAAACGGCCTGTGATTGGCTACTTTTCAGGACATCCTGCCTTTTAAACAGTATTGTTGTTTTTTCCTAGCTGTAGTTAGCAAACATTAGCAAAGGATCCTCAACCTAAATGCTGGTGAGGATTCTCAGTCATCCAGGTCATAATAATTCCAAAAATGTTTTTTAAAAATCGACTGGACTTTGTTTCCACGTTTGAAGACGTTTCTG